GAATAATTGGACTAATATGCCAAATGTGATAAAAGAATATTCATGGTAGTAAAAATTTGAAAAACCTTTCTTATCTATTAACAGACAACTGGTTAAATAAATTACAGTATAACCATATCATAGATTGCTAAGGCAAATAATCAAAAGGATTTATATTTATGTGAGAAAAAACAAGTTACAGAAAGACTAGTATGATCCTTTACAAAATATATACATATTTACATATCTACGTATTTACAGAAAAAATGCATCTCCTTCTTACTGATGTTCTTTTCTAAGCAAAGGGAACTCAGAGTTATGCCCTTACCTTTTCTATGCCCATTTAGTCACTCTGCCTCATGAGGTTGGAGTGACTTATTTGATTGACAATTTGGGGAAGAATAAATAGCTAATAGCTGGCTCAGCTCTGCCTCTTTTCTTCCTGGAATTGAGCTGCCTGCTGGGAATAATGGTTCTTTTCTGCTTCTCTATGCTGTCTTTCTTGCCTGATACTGGAATGAAAAATCTGACTAATTCTGGGGTTCATTTAGCAATCCCATTTGGCACTCACACTAATCTATGTCCTCTAATTCATCTTTATTATTAATAAAGGAATATTTTTGCCTTCTTATGCCATTCTTTTGTCTTATTTTTCAATTAATTCAGTACCCTGGGCAAGAGAGAAGACTGCTATTTATTGGGTTCTTTCAAGCACCCAGTTATATATGCATCAAAAAAAGAATGGAAGAATAGATTCCAAACTCCTAATGGTTTGGAAACTCTCTGAAGATACTTCACTTGCTACTTTCTAAATTCTGGATATCCGTATATTTCATTTAAGAAAAAAATAAAAGATTGTGTTACTTTCAGAATCAATGAATGGAAATCAATATTGATTTTCCATTTTGAATAAAAATATGAATAAAACACATATAACAATGAAATACTACTCTCTATATAAAATTAGCATGGCCTCCCTAAATTATAGTTCTTAGGGATCTTAAGAATATAATGAAATGGGTATTGTCATTCACTCCTAGTGGCCTCTGATCTTGCAGTATGATGATAATAGGAGAATGACTGCTTTGTCATTGACTAGCTGTGTGACTTCGAATGAGTCATTCGCCTTGCCCTGGACCTCAATTTTATCATTTGTAAATAAGTTTCCTTTAGGACCTAACTTTGTAAGGTTCTATACACTGATGTTTAATATATGTCTGGGAAATATCAGCTATTAAAGTTGTCTCTAGGTATCTGATCTCCCCATTTCTGAGAATTCTCTTTTTTACCCCAGACCTCTGGCCCACAGCTGATGGGACCACAGGTAGCTACCTGACCCAATGTGATTCAATCAGTTTTCCTCTCCATGAAGAATTTAGAATTGGGAATTAGAAATAAAAGGTAGGTTATTGCGGACCATTAGAACCTAGGGTGTATAAATTTAGAAGCTGTGAAGAAGAAAAGGAGAGAGAGTTGATCTGTAGTGATAGGGAAGAATGAAACAGATTAACGGAGAAGGGATAATTAGAGAAGATAAATTTATAAAGGAATTCTTCTGGCTCTTGAGTTACTGGTTCTTGTGTCTTCTGGAGGCCCAGCCTTACTCCCATCTTTAGCTTCAACCAGTCAACCTTGTGCCCTTATAATAAATTGTCCTTTTTCAATTAAGCTAGATGGAATTGGTTTCTTTAACTTGCAATCTAAGAATCTATTCTACAATTCACATCTCTGCCATCAAAAATGTTCCTATCCCCTATCCCCTTGCTGCTATCATTCCAAATCTATGCAGAGAAAGAAGCTAAGGGATCCTAATTTTATCTGATTTAAATTTAGCCCATATAAGACCTCCTCCCCATCCTATAAGCTTCCCCAGGGAAGATGTAGCACTGCCTATCCCAGCTTCTGCTCCCAAACATGTGCACCACCCACCTGTGTCCTAGAACTGGCTCATCAGATATCTGAGTTGGGCTGTGAAAGGAAGGATGGAGCTTCCAGACTCTGGATCCTTCCAGATCCCAGGAAGATGGGCCCTGGACTTAAGGAGGACAAACAGGAAGGTGATCTGGAAAGCTATGTCAGTTGAGAAGAAACGTGTGCTTTGTCTGGTTAATGAACGTTGTTAGCTATAAAGAATGGAATAAACTAAGGACTTGGAAATGCAATTCTTTCTTAAAAGACCAGTTTGGGGGATAAAATAGTATCAATAATTTAGTAAGGAAGATCTTATAAAGCTTATGAGCCAGATGATTTTGTAGGTGAGATTTTTTAAAAAAAAAAAAATACATGAATAGCTGCCTTGATCCTTGGCTCTCTCAGATTCATTATTTGATAAGCAATTTATTTTTCTTAAAATCAGCTCCACAGGTACAAAATTCATATGTCTACTTCTCAGCTAAGATGTATAAATAACAACCTAGAAGAAAATTAAACTGCTTTCTACCCAATAGTCAACCAGATGATATTAGAATATCATAGGTCTAAGCAAGTATTTAAATTGTCTTTGAGGCTTCCTCTTTCACACATACACTGCAATCTGTGATTGGATGGAGAAGTCTTTGGATGAACTGAAGATCCCATGAAATTATTCTGGATAAGTAAATGAAGACAAATCTTTCCAACCTTTCTCTGTCTTTCTTGTGAAAGTCTGTCTCTGTTTTTCATCATTCATCTATAAACAGAACCATTATTCATTGTCAAGCACTAGAAATGAGTATGTGTTCATACTCAGAAGGATGTGATTATTTTAGACGGAGTCGTATAATGTTCACAACAGCCTTACAAATTTCCTCTTTGGGATACACCCAGACAAGGTTTTATAAATCTCAGGCACTAAATTTATCATTGCAAACAGGTGCTAATTTTTGTTTCTAGTAGCAAAAATCTGGGTATAACCCAAATGTGGTTGATAGAGAAAAAGATAAATGCATTATGACATTATGACCTGACATTATATGTAATTTATACAGGAATTTAAAAGAATGATTTAGAGTTGACCTGGGGAAATATTCATGTTATTATAAGTTAAAAAAAATCTACAGGATAACAAGCTTGGTATCATTTTATTTTTATATAAGAAAGAAAACAAACATATGTCTATGTGACATTTTATATAGAGATAGATATAGATATGTAAATGTGTGCATAGAGAAAAATGTGGAAATATGCACTTGAAATTGTTAACGGTAGATCCCTATGTAAGGGAGAATTAGAAGAAACTGGTGAAGAAAGTAGTAATTTTTCTTTATATGCTCTGGATTCTTTATTTAAAAGAACACGTTTTTATAACAAAAATTCAATGCCACATAAAATGAAATAAAGTCTAGTGAAAGCAAAGTGTAAAAATGAAGGCTGTTTAATCAATCCTCCTATATGTTTATGCATCAGTTTTCAATTTTCTTTAGCTCTAAGACCAGCTACTGGCTGAGTGGTTGTCTGAATTGCTCATGTTCTTTGTAGATTGATGATCCCCAAGTCAAATGATCATTGTGTAACCTAACAAATTACTGGGCTTTATGTTTTTCACTACCCACTCTTTTTTATTTTTTTTGTGCAGGCTAGACTCCATATTATGGAAGTAAATCTACGAGTGTCCATCTCAGAGGAGCTTAAGTTCAAAGACAAGCTCATAGACTTTAATAGGGCAAAAGACTTTTAAGATTTCATATTTTAGCAGGCACTTATTTTCACATGGATCGACCCCAGGAAAAAATTGGAAATGGCATGAATTTTATCTAACTGGTTATAACAACAAGGTTGCTGTGTACCACTTTTAGGCACAATTTCAAAGAAATTGCTCATTTACTAAGGCCTCCCTCCTAATTATAATAGCAGTCTTTCTCTCTCTCTCTCTCTCCCTCCCTCCCTCTCTCTCTTTAACACACACACACATACACTTTAATCAATAGGAAAAGTTCCCTGAGTCTAATAGCTAAATCTCTGAAAAAGGGGTAAGGAAATAGAATAAAATGATTATTAATATTTATTATTATGGTGTGTCAAACATGCTCAAAACTTTTCAGACTATCTGCTAAATCCTCCCCACATATCAATAAGATCAGTACTATGATTATGACCATTTTAGACATGAGGAAATTGAGACTGAAAAACTGAGAGTGGCTTGCCCAAGGTTCCCTACCTACTTAGTGACAGAGATATATCAGTTTGTTTATAAGTAGAGTCACTATACATCTCAGCTAGCCTGGGGCAGTGTCAGTTTAATTCTTGAATCCTGAAGTGATTATTAATGGTGTCTGTTGTTCTATTTCAAAAGTGGACTCAGCAAATGATACAGTCACTCTATCTCAAGGTTTCTCAATCTCAGTACTATTGACATTTGGGGCTGAAAAATCATTCGTTGTGGGTGGCTGTCCTCTGCATTGTAGGGTGTTTAGCAACATCCTTGGCCTCTACCCACTAGATGCCGGTAGCACCCTCCACCCCAAGTAATGAAAAACAAAAATGTGTTCAGACATTGCCAAATGTTCCCTGGGGGGGCAAAGTTGCTTCCGGTGGAGAACCACTGCATCTAAAGCCTGTGTTTACAACCCTTTAACTACATGAGGACAATATAATCTATTTGTTATAGAAGATGTACTATGGACTGAACCTAGCCAGTAGAGTGACTGGCATATACCCTGTACTCAATAAAAGTTAATTTCTTGGAGCCAAAAGCATTCTCGATTGTAGAGAGACACAAACGCTAAACAAGTAATGAACAAGATAACTTGAGAGGCTCTAGTGATAAAAATTGGTTTCTTGCAATTCTTACTAGAGAAGACAGAGATAGTACCCTGGCAAGTGACCCAGCAACCTTCAGGCTGTCCGTTCCAGTAAGATTGTGAAGTTTGATTCTTGATTCCATTGAGTGTTTTTGCCCCAGTACTGAACACAAAAACCAACGTGATAGCCAGAGAGTAATACAGTGAGTTCCATACTATAGCAATCTTCTTCAGTAATAATAGCTAACAATAATCAGTGTTCTATTTTCTCCTACTCTTATACTTAGAAATGACCACCATTTCTTTCATACCACCATTTTCCATTTATTAGCAATAACAGAGGAAATACCAATAGCACCAATTCAAAATGAATCCACATGATGTGTTTTATCCTTACAGCTGTAATAACTAGTAACTAACATGGATTGGAAAGCACTTCACAAATGTAAAAAGTGCTGTACAGGTACATTATAATTATCATCCATTAATAAATTAGCCCGATTCTCCTAGTTCAAAAGGCACGTAAGGTCAGATACATGGGCTTCAGTGGGGCAAAATGATCACAACCTACAATGTAGCAATGGTTCACATGTGTTGGCAATAAGTTTTACCCCATGCAATCCTGCAGAGCTGAAGTTACACACCCTTCAAAATATGGGAGAATGAAGCTAAAAGTAGACAAGACAGTTTTTTTTAGATTTAATGCTTTTTTTTAAAATAACAGACTCCTACTTCTTTTATATTAATGTTTAAATAGATAATATAATTAATCAAACCTCTAACTCGTACATTATAACAAAATTAAAATGTCTTATTTAAAGTAACATTAAATTTTATTTTTTTCTATGAGCTGATATTCCAGCTATACTAGAATTTCAAAGCATTCTGCAACTTCAAGGAGGTCAGATTGGTAAAATTTGTGCTTGCACACCTCGGGAATATTTTCAGTATTCATTCCAAAATTGTTACTAGAAAACAACAGCTTTATCCATTCCCTTGCCAGCAAGAGTCTTGGCAAGAGATGGCTCTTGGCTGGACCATAAATAAAATTCCTTGAATCACCAGTATCTTGATTTAAGAAAGAAATTTTACTGTGTCTTTCATACACAAAAGCTGATTAACAATGGTTAAAAAAACACTATTCCACTTTTTCACAGGTGTACAAAAGGAAATATAATGGAATTACATTCAACAATAAAGCTTAAAGTTCACTCTAGGTAATAGTTGCATTAACATTCACATACACAAGCACAGAGTAAGTATATTTCAGGAGTCTTATAATAGCATACAGCATACATATGGGAGATTGATTTCAGGTAACATCATAGGTGTTAGTAAGATTAGCAATTCAGAGTGTTATAGAAAAGGAAAACTAAACCAAAGAGAAGGTGTAGGCTAGCACACCAAGACAAATCACAGAATCAGAGGACTGAAAAGTCTGCTCACTGTATGTATGAGAAAACAATATTTTTCTTCAATTTCTGGGTCTTGATATAGTTGGTTAGAGAAGGTTGTGTATTCAAAGTGCACATAATTGTTTCTTAGAAAAGAGAGAGAGAAAGATTCTTTTATTTAATAATTAATACATGCAAGAGGCAGCCCCAGAGTGACCTGAAAGAGTAAAGCTTTGATTGGCAGGTGGCCGATATAATACAGATGTTTCAGGCAATTCTCTTAAAGCACTTCTGTAGCAGCAATGATCATTTAAATGGCTGTAGACTGAATTCTCTTTTAAGGAGAGTTTAGGGGAATTGTATTCATCATATTTCTCTTTAAAGACTTATAGCTATAGACTTTCTGTTTTTTTAAATAAATCTATCAAACAACAAACAGCATAAGGTGAGGTGTTGGGGTTTCCTTTTTCTTTTGCTTTTGCATATGTATTGTCGGAAAAGGATCTGGCCTTTTCATAACCATTGTGTGCAAAAGAACTTTTAATAAAGTGAGCACAGGACATATATAGAAAACACATCAGATCTGCTTCCGTCGCCCTGGCTGGCCCTCTGTTAAACACCGAACTGTTGGCTGGTAGGTATAATGCAGGTTTTAGGTGTACACCACAATCCACCACAGCCAACAGACTCTAGGGACTCCTAAAGCCTTGTCAGTGGGGGTAGTTTTGTCTCCTAAAGGGTGGCCACCACCTCTTGAGTTGTAAGATTTAGAAAGTCTGGTCCCTCTTAGCTTCACATTTCCCCTCCCGACTGGTATCATGCTGTTCATCTGCGATTGTTTCTCGGCCCTTCTTGTACCGCCTAGCCTAATCTGCCCATCGCAGCCAGCATCTTCTGGCACTCGCATACCTGCAGGGGCCACACATTCCCAGTGGCCACAAACACCCAAGCTGCTCAATCTCAAAACCTTTCAGCCTGCCCTGCAAGTGTCATCAAGACAGGATCCCCGGAGCACAGGGCAGAGAGTCCAACTCTCACTGGCGGGGCTGGGAGGCCTCTCCTTTGCGGCGGAGGAGAAAGGAAACCTGGGTCTGCTTTTTAGGTTCTGAAAACAAGCCAGAGTGGAGAGAAAGAGTTAACACCAGACTTAGTAAAGCTTTAAAGACAAAACCCATTAAATGCGATCTAGACAAACACAGGGAACTTTCTGCAGATTTCTGAGGTCTCTAAGAGGGCTCGTGTAGGTAGGAAAAAGGAGCAGGGAGTTGCTACATGGAAGAGATTTGCCATTATTACAAAAACTGGCTAAGTGGCTTGTTTCCGTTCGATGACCTCACTGGTCACTGTTGTCAGTCGTGCTGTTTCCTTTCTCTTTTTTCTCCTGGGTCTTGTTACCCTTCTTCTTTTTCTTCTTTTTCTTGGTCTCCTCCTTTTTGCCGAAGGTTATGAAGTCACTTTTGTCAATTTGGCTGTTAGTAGGCTCCTGCCGGATGGAGATGATTGCAGGAGATCCTGGGATAATGAATTTGTCTGGCAACTCACCGGGACCGGATTGTTTGGGGTTGCCTGGTCCATATTTAAAGGTCCAGCTGTTGCTGTTGACACCAGCACCGACGGGAGGGGACACCTCTCCTGCCTCTGGTTCTGAAAGATAAAAACATCACGAATCAGCAACAGGGTCAACACAGGCCCTTGATGCCACACTACTGGTGGAGTATAGGAGAAGCTACACAAACAGGCTGGGACCCCCCAAAATCATGGATTATTTCTTTGAGCCTGAAGGCAAGGCCTAAACACAAGGCTTGTGTTTAGGAACAAGCAGGAGGGCAGATTTTCTCACCAGGATGTCCAGGAATCCAGTTTTCTAGTTACATATTTTTGGTTCTTTGTGAACATTTTCCTAAAGAATATGGTCGTGATTATCTTTTGGGGAGTAGGACAGGAAATGCTGGGCTAAAACAGAATATACTACTTTTAGTGTATGTATTAGAGAAAATTTTAGCTACAAATGTATTCTGATACCTACTGTATTCAACACAGAAGGTAAATTAGTTGAATCAATTATTTGATCCTAATTTTATTATAATAAACTTGAGGGGTGATGGGATGGAGCAGAAGAGAGGTAGGAATAAGTGGGACACTACACAGTATAAGAGGATGGAATCCTGTTACAAATTGTACCTATTTGTTTGGATAAAGCATTGGCAGCCAGTTTTAATTTCTAAATCAAGTTCCCTCCCTCAATGTTTTCGCAGTCTAGTTGGTACATACACTTAGGCAATTACAAACCAATTTAATACATGCAATAACCAAGGTATATATAAAGTATTGTGGGACTACAGAGGAGGAAATTGTTAATTATACTTGATAAAGTTAAAGGAGATTACAAAGGAAAGGTTAAGTCTGCACCTAGTCTTGGGAAAATGATTATGCATCCAGGGGTTTTCAATGCAAGACTTTCCCAAGAGTTTAGTTGGAAGAAATACCATAAAGTATACCAATGACTTCTAGAAGAGTAGAAGTCAAAGCTAGAGAAGAAGAGTAATGATCTGTCTGGGCAAAGTTATCCCAGTGGCCATGACATTGAAGCCCTCTGACATAACAGTAGTGTTTATGTATCTGAGACTGCCCAAGCTGGAGTGCAGTGGCACAATCATAGCTCACTGTAACCTTGAACTCCTGTACACAAGTGATCCTCCCACCTCAGCCTCCTGAGTAGCTGGGACTACAGGCATGCACCACCACACCAGGCTAATTTTTTTGTAGAGATGGGGTCTCACTATGTTATCCAGGCTGGCCTTGAACTCCTGCCTCAAACAATCCTTCTGCCTTGGCCTCCCAAAGTGTGTCATTGCCTCTTTGAAACACATATGAGTTCTTTGTCATGTAGGAGAATAACCCCCACAGGTTCTTAGTTGGACTGGACCTCTATTACAAAAGATAGATTAACAAGAGAAAAATAAAAGTTTATTAATATGCATATTTCTCATACATATGACAGACACCCAGAGAATGAGTAGCTCTCAAAGAGATGGCTTTGAATTCCAGCTCATATAGCATATTTAAAAGAACAGTAAATTTTTAGAGAACTGACGAGTCAAAGGAAAAGGACTTTGAATCTTATCGGTTGCTACTTGGCAGAAAGCAAATAAATGGCAGATAAAAGCTAGTTACTAAAGCTTGTTGATGTAGATTTCCCTGGTACCATCGCCAGGCCTGTAAGAGTCTAAAGTTGTCTTCAGTGGTTAACCTTTGCTCTCCCTGGTGGTGGTGGTGTTAGGGAGAGCAGGATACCTTTTACCTGTGTAAATCTATGTTCTTTTAGGGAGATGGAGGACAGAGAGCTTTCATATATCTGCCTCTTGTCTTCAGCTCAACAATCCTTCATATTTTGGGGTGGCATATTCTGGTTCCCCCACAGTCAAAAAATTCTCCTGACCTTTCTCTCTGGCTGGTCTTTGTCAATATCCTTTGCAGGATCCTCCCTTATGTGTTAGAGCTTCCTTAGGTTTGGCCCTAGACTCACTTCTCTGCTTACTCTCCACTCTCTCCTTTTGGGATCTCAGCCATGTCTGTGGGTATAAATACCATCTAAATATGCTGATGAGATGCAGATTTATATTTGAACCCCATATCTCTCTGTGTTCTAATCTCACGTATCCAACTGCTTATCTGGTATCTCCGCTTGGAGGTCTCATGGGGATCCCAACTGAAGGAATCTCAAGTTAAACTCCTGATTCCTATCATCTATTCCTTTCTAAATCATTCCAGTTTTGGTAAATGCCACCCCATATACCCCATTACTCAAGCCAGGAAGTTCAGAGTTATTCTTCATTTTTCTCTATTCTAGTCTTTATTCTCCATTTATGATACATCGTCAAGTCCCATCATTTCTGCCTCTGAAATGTATCTTGACCCTGTTTTCTTCTCCCCAGCTTCACTGCCACTGCTCTCCTTCAACGCCATTATCTCTTATGTGAATTACAGCAATGGCCTCCTCCTTATTCAACCTGCTTCCACATATGCCTCTCTCCAATCTTCCACATAGTAGCCAGAGTCATCTGCATTCTTTCAAGTCTTTCCTTCTTCCTAAAACTTGAAGTATAGCATATACACAGTAAAATCCCTTAAAAATAGAAATCAGATTATATCATTCCCATGCTTAAAATTATTCAAAGGCTTTCTACTTTGAGAAAAAAAAAATCAAACTCCTTACCGTGGTATATTAGCACCTTCAATAATCTTGATGTTTTTTTCTTCTCCAATCTCATCTACAAATCTCCCTCTTACCACTATACTCCATCCACACAGGCCTTCTTTCAATACCTCAAATACCCTTGGCATTGGTTGGTTTTTTTGTTTTTATTTTTTATTTTTATTTTTTGTTTTTGAGACAAGATCTCGCTATGTTGCCCAAGCTAGAATGTGTGGCTATTCACAGGGACAATGATAGAGTACTGCCCCTGGAACTCCCAGGCTCAAACCTCAGCCTCCTCAGTAGCTGGGGCTGCAGGCACGCACCACCGCACCTAGGTCGTTGGAGTCGTTTTTGCCTCAAGATCTTTATACATATGGTTTCCTTTTGTCTCGAATTGACCTCTCATCCATTCTTACCATGACTCCTCATTCTTCAAGTCTGTGCTTAAATGTAAGCTCCTCAGAGAGAATTCTATGACCTTCATGGCCAAGCAGCACCCCCTTCACCAATTAGCCTCTATCACTGTAAAGTTCACAAATGCAAGAAATATATGTTTATTCACCAATGTATAACCAATGCCTAGCACCATTCCTGGCCCATGACAAATGTTTAATAAATATTTGCCGGATGGGTGAATGAAAAGACTGATACAAGAAGTGGAAGTGGTACCCACTCTTTAGCAGACCAAACAACTCTCCACTGATGGCACATTTGAGTCCCTAAAGACAATAAGGTAATGCATGCAAAGTGCTATGTCTGATCCTTAGCACAATGTAAGAGCTCAATAAATGGTATCGCATATGGGAAATTATATATAGTGCAGCTAGGGTTATATATGGGGCTAGGAGGATGAGGTAGGATATTGCAAATTTATAGCAGGCAGTGGGGAGAGGGAACAAGAAACTTTCCTCTCTCCCCCAAACCCTTTCCTTATACCATGATTCCCCTGGCAGAGCTGACACGATAGCACTATGGAGATGAGTAATAGATATTTTTTTCCCTGAGACTAATTTCCCTGATCTATCCAAGATAATCAAATCTGCAATTGAGCTCAGCCAGAATCTGCCTGTTTACCTTTCAAATACAGGCCCTGTCTCTAAGAGACTGAGACAAAATTGAGAAATACATTTAAAAGCCTCTGATTTGGCGCCCAGAACTGGGTTTCAGCACCACTCCACAGTCCTTTTGCTCTCACAGAGCCCAGGATGGAAATTTTTCTTTAACCATAGCCAGGACTCCACATGAAGCCCAAGGATTGTCATCCGGAGATGCAGAGCTCAGAGATATCTTCATCTTGCAGAGCTAAAGGACATTAATGGCTGTGTCTATTGGCAGAGGGAGCCTCTCACAGCAGGACTGCCAAGAGTTAATTGGCTTCTTTTACAAGTCACTAAGCTTCCCCGGCCTTTTCTGGGAGTCTTGGTTTATCTGACTCAACCTAAACTCCAAGAAGCAATCAGAGCTAGCCAGGTGCATCCTCCACATGTCCAGCTTTTGCAGAGCAGAACAAGATAGTTTTCCAGTCCCTTGTGCCTAACCTGTTCTAGTTGTTGCATAATCAAACATCTCTGAGGGCTCAGCCGAATCTGAACTGTGACTCATTCACAGTTTAAGGATCCAACAAACAACATTTACCGACCTCCTAATCTGAGTTCCTTTTGGCTAAGAGCATGGAAAACACTTGGCCAGCCTTGCCTATAAAATGTAGTGCCTTTGGGGCAGAATCAAGGGGTATACTCCCTTATGAAGAAGATGAGAAAGGAAGAAGCACGTTTCTGCCCTTGACCCTAGCTGGGGGCCAGTCCCAGCAAATGGTCAAGCAAGGAAATGTCTTCTTTTAGTGCTGCCTCCTTTCCCTTCTCCTGGGATCTCCCACAAGTCCCCTCCCTTCTGCTCCCAGGCACCTAGCTCACCCTTAGACAAAAACTGAGATACAGTCAGGATCAAATGAATGGATCTATTAGAGCCTAGAAAGGGGATTTTAGACACACATCAAGCTAGCAGGGGTCTGAATCTTTAGGCAGAGCCCTTCCCAGACATTCAGATTACAACCCAATAGGACTTAAAAGTTTTAATAGAATGTGATCACAAATATAAAAGATGGTTGTTGTTGTTGTTGTTGTTGTTCTTCTTCTTCTTCTTTTTGTATTGGCCAATTTCTTCACAATGGGTAGAGATGCATTTTAAAGCCAGAACAATATATATTTTTATGAAAACATATAGTTCTTCGTTTTGACTTTTAAAATAACCCTCTGGAAGTAGCTAGCCACTACATGTAGTCCCATAATCCACTTTAGGCACTTCCCTTAGGCACTGCCAGGGGCCTTTTCCCAAAATTTCCAACTTTCCACTTGCATACTAAACTAACCCTGGCTGCCCAAGTTTATGGAGTTGAACCTCAGGGACTAGGAATGATTGGGCCAAAGGCTTTGCCAATGCAAATACC